TACTTTGTTACAAAATATATCCAATAAAAAAAATTTTTAAAAATACAATTTTTCATAAATTTAGGTCAATGTATTCTGCTACATGTCTTTGTTAAAAAAAAATCCTACTATATAAATTGGTTTGTGAGAAAATCATAACGTCTACAAAAGGTATACTATATTGCCAAAAGTATTGGGACACCCCTCCAAATCACTGAAATCAGGTGTTAAAATCACCTCCATGGCCACAGGTGTATAAAATCAAGCGGAAACTCATACAAATGAGTGCAGAGAGGCCACTCCAGGTGGAAACATGTGGACAGTTAATCATGAGCTCACCACTGCTGCCTTGTTAATCATTTGAAAAGCGCAACTGTGCGAAACATGCTGTCTTGGTAACCCTACATATCCCAGCTGAAGCCAACGCTGGACACTGCCTTCGCTTGCCATGGTGACACCACCCAGGACACTGGTACGCTGACACCACGTGATTTGAAGCCGACAGGAGCATTTTCTGATCTCAACTCCCCTCAGAGCGGACAGGCCATCCATTGGAGTCACACTGTCCACTTCAGGCTGGTCAATTTTATTATATTTTCTACTTTGTCTCACCCAATAAAGATGCACCTTCACTAAGGTGCTTGTCTGAGAGCATTTTCCACAGCGCCTATTTTTTCCAGTATAAAATCAAGCACCTAGGCATGCAGACAGCTTCTGCAAACATTTTTGAAGGAATGGGTCGCTTTCAGGAGCTCAGTGAATTCAAGCGTGGTACCGTGATAAGTTGCCACCTGTGCAATAAGTCCATCCATGAGATTTCCTTGTTACTAAATATTCCATGGTCAACTGTTAGTGGTATTATAACAAAGTGGAAGCAACTGGGAACAGCAACTCAGCCACCAAGTGGTAGGCCACGTAAAATGACAGAGCGGGGTCATGCTGAAGTGCACAGTGCACAGAAGTCACCAACTGCCTGTAGAATCAATAGCTAAATACCTCCAAACTTCTTGTGACCTTCAGATTAACACAACAGTGCATAGAGAGGTTCATGGAATGGGTTTCCATGGCCGATCAGCTGCATCCAAGCCCTATATCACCAAGTGCAATGCAAAGTGTCGGATGCAGTGGTGTAAAGCACGCCACCACTGGTCTCTAGAGCAGTGGAGATGTGTTCTCTGAAGTGATGAATCATGCTTCTCTGTCTGCCAATCCGATGCACATGTCTGGGTTTGGAGGTTGCCAGGAAAACAGTACTTACATGACTGCATTATGCCAAGTGTACAGTTTGGTGGAGGGGGGATTATGGTGTGGGGTTGTTTATCAGAGGTTGGGCTTGGCCTCCTAGTGCAACCTCCTAGTGTATATCCTGGAACTTTTTTGTTATAATATTAATAGCGGTGATCAGTGACTTGTATTAGGATGTGCAGTGGGCAATCTGACACTAGCTGACACTTTTTGTGGGAACTTTCTGGTGCACCAGTGACACTAATACAGTGATCAGTGCTAATACTATATATTGTTACTGTACTAATTACACTGGCTGGGAACGGGTTAACATCTAGGGGCAATCAAAGGGTTAACCATGTGCCTAACAATACGTACCGTGTGCAGTATGTGCTGCTTTTATTAAGCGAAGTGCCCATTTATACTCCCTGCTTTGCAGGGAGACAAAAACTGGGACATCGCTGCTGTCTGTACAGAGCTCCGTTATGTCATTCACTCAGCTGACCAGGTTCCATCCATAAGTCCTATAATGGCTTTTTAATATGGGGAGGGTTCATTTACTAAAATAAAAAAATACTTTATTTACTAAAGTAGCAAAGCATGTTCATTTTGTAAAGTGAATTTTCACAAAGCTTAGTACAAGAGATAAAAGTAAGGGTTGATTTACTAAAACTGGAGAGTGCAAAATCTGGTGCAGCTGTGTATGGCAGCCAATCAGCTTCTAACTTCAGCTTGTTCAGTTAAGCTTTGACAAAGAAACCTGGAAGCTGATTGGTTTCTTTGCACTCTCCAATTTTAGCAAATAAACCCTTAAGTGAAAATTCAGAAGCATAGTTGAGAGTAAGAGATGGAAGTGCACCAAAATGAAGCCCCTGATGGATGAAATGATTTAGAGGGCGAAGTTTGGGAAGGGATGGAACCAAAGCCTTCTTGAGACTTAGTCCTCTAGCCAATGCATACTATATTCCTAAGTGCTGCATAGTTAGTCTAATTGGAAAAAAGACACATGTCCATCTAGTTCAACCACTTCTGATTGAACTACAATTACCAGAGAGCTTGAAAACGAGATGGATGCTGGGAAAGCAGATATATTCTACATCAAGGGACTGGCTGGCTCTCTTGGTGTGGGATTCAGAGCTGAACACAGGGGAATTGCCGTTTTCCTACAGACACAGATTGTGGCCTACTGCTATAGCACTCTTTACATCAGCTCAGCGCAGCAGTGAAGCCGATCACCACACTGTGATCGCATACACCTCTCTGCATCGGAACTGTCACTGTCGGGTTTTCTAACAGACATCCCTGCTCCCTGTGCTGACAAGCCATCAGGCAGTTACTACGAACATCCCTGCAAGCAGCCAAGAGCCTGGGCAAGGATTCTGCTCTTAGGAGGCCGTGCTATTCATAGGATTGGTGAGCAGGCAAATGGCAAATCTCTATCTGTTATCACTCTAGAGACACTGCATGCAGACACGTTTACATCTCAGTACCTGAAGATTTTTCCTTTGAGTAGTGCCACAGTCTATCTGTTTAACTTTCTCAAAGTATCAGTAGTCACCAATGTTTATGGGCCCCACCATTGCTAGCAGAAGACAACAGATATCACCATACCAGGAATTTTAAAAATGACAGGACTTACATTGCTATCTCTAGTAGGATGCGTTTTCTCTTTTCATGCTGAAGTATACATATACATTATTCTCTGCATTCCTCATTGTGATGCCCTCAGGTGACCCTGAGGGAGCTGATAAGTCAACAGTCCCTTTCTCCCCCTATTCTTCTGCCGGTGTGCAATTAAATAGTTGCAGCTTACTACTCATTGACTATATAATCTGTTAAACGTTTGGCATTTGACTTTCTGTTTTACCAGTGTTCTTCTTTAATTAGTTAATTGGGGTTGTATGTCCTGAATCCATTAACTTTGCTGCCTACCCTTTTGAACATGTCTAATATAGAGGTGTTATTAAAAAATTGTATCTATTACATTAATATCCTATACTGTTGAATATCTGAACCCAGAACATCAGAGGTGTCTTGGGACTTGCAAGATCAGGACAACCACTGAAGACAAGCATTGTCAAGCGGAACCTTCAGTCTTCTCATCTTTACAGCCATTCAAAGGGGTAAATTTACAGTTTATTTGAGCTTCCAGAAAACAGGGGGCAGGGAGCTGAAATTACAGAGCTCAGTGAGTGCTGATTGGAGGGAAGGGAAACACCCCCTGTCATTTACAGGATGTGTGCTGGAGCCTTCTCCTCTGTCATCTTTTTTCCTCTTGGTGTCAGGAAAACTTCTCGGAAGGGACTCATGCAGATAGCACAGGACCAAGGCAGCAGACAGAAATGACACTTAGTGCTCTGGAATGAGACAAGAACACATTGTAGAAGGATATACTTTATTTTATGTAATGTCTGAGGTTTACAACCATTTTATCTGTCATAATGTGTTTATATGCTGTGCATACTAACACATAATGACATAAGCCCCCTGGGGGCTGATTTAAAAAAAAAATGTAGCAGAGTTTAATTTAGCTTTAAATCTCTTGGGGAAATCAGCAATGAGATTTCTCTTACATGCTTCCAAAGTCTAATTTAGCACACTGATTCGGTATACTTCTAAAAAAAAAAAAAAAGTCCTAATCTTTTTGTTTCCCATTTATCAATCTAAAATTAATTTAAACTGAACCAAGAAGTGCAGGGTATCTATGTAACCACCATGTTGCACAGACATAAGAATTTAAAATATTGGTTTAGGCTTGTCTGTCTTTCATTTCAGGCTAAACCACAAAAAATGCATTATAAACCAAAGCCAATATAGACTTTATTAATTTATATCTCATCAAAACATAAACGCTATCACGCCCCTTCTCTATGTAAATAAGCATCCAATACTTTATATTTTGAGAAACTTTATTTCATAACTATTTACAAGACAAACGATGATCCAAAGCTTTAGGAATCATGGATGTTCAGTGCTTGACAGGATTTCGTTTGCTAATCTTATCAAATGAATTCTGCTTCAAGTAAGGCATGGGTTCTGATGGAACTAATTCATAAGTCTCTGGTCCAAATGCATTTGTTTTCCTCCATTTAATTCCCCTTGTAGGGTGGTGTCCATTGTTAACCACTTATGTACCAGCCTGTAAATATCTCTTCCAGGGTATGTTTCAGTTGTCTGTGCTGCGATAGTTTGACTTCCAATCAGGCCACATTCACACTTGTGAATGGAGCTGACACTAATAACATGTAAAAATTAGGGTTGCCACCTCATCAATTTAAAACCAAACACATATTAATGACACAGGTTATGTGGCTAATTAAGGTGATATTTAACCACTTGCCAACTGTGCTATAGCAGAATGACGCTACAGTGCAGTTGTCCAGTTCTGGGAGGGCGTCATATGACATCCTCCCAGAACGTGCCCTCCCGCATGCCCCCATTGGCGCACACTCAGCGATCTCCGTGATTGCTGTATCCTAAGGACACAGCTGATCATGTGATGAGGTAAAAGGCCAATCATAGCAGCCTTTTACCACATCATAAGCTGTCTCCAATGACACAGCAGATCACCGAGTAAATGCAATTGCCGGTTATTGGCTGCACTTTCCTCAAGCTGTCACAGCGTGAGGAAAGCACTGCCGATAACCGGCAATTGTCACAGAGCAAATCAGCACTGATCATCAGTGCCCAGCAGTGCCTCCCACCAGTGCCAGACTGCTCTAACTGCTGATGAAAAAAGGTATTTAGCAGTTTATATTTACTAAAATAATTGCATTTCCATGTTCTGTGTACTGTGGGAGACCAGATATAGTGAATGCAGGGTCCGGGGAGACCAGATATAGTGAATGCAGGGTCCGTGGAGACCAGATATAGTGACTGCAGGGTCCGGGAGACCAGATATAGTGAATGCAGGGTCCGGGAGACCAGATATAGTGAATGCAGGGTCCTGTGTTTAGTAACATATTAGCCCAAACACACTGTAGCAGGCACTTAGATGGTCTTGACTTACTCCGGAGCATGCGCAGTTCTGAGCTGAGTGTCAGCCATATTTTTAACTGGCAACCTTTTCCTGTCACTAGCATTTACTGGCAGGAGAAAAGTGCCTGTTTTTTACTGGCTACTAGTAAAAATACTGATGGTTGGCAACATTGGATCAGATGTACAGGAGAAGAAGGAGGTGAAAGAGTTAAAATATAAGCACTGCGTAGTTCTGCTAATATGATTTTTTTGATGCAATCAGTACACATTGCACACTGGCTTTGGACAGGAAATACCACTTCTAAATACAGAAAGTAATAGCAGTCTTGCAGAAAATATTGCCCTATTGGTTTTCCACTTTGTGTACTGCTCCTGACAACTCCTATTCAGCATTTGATGAACATCTCAGAGTATTAAAATGTGTTTGCAACATGTTTTTTCTGATTAGTGATGTTTCCCGTAGCAACCAATCAGCTTTTATCTTTCATTTTTTTCCACGCAGCTTAGAAAATAAAAATTTAAAAGCTGATTGGCTGTGCCCCAGCTGAGAAAAAAGTTGGTCTCAGACACCTTTTGTTAACCACTTCCAGTCCGGACACTTTTACCCCCTTCCTGACCAGGGCAATTTTCAGCTTTCAGCGCTATCACACTTTGAATGGCAATTGCACGGTCATGCAACACTGTACCCATATGAATTTTTTACCATTTTTTTGAGACAGATAAAACTTTATTTTGGTGGTATTTATGCACCGCTGGGATTTTTATTTTTTTGCTATGTAAATGAAAATGTCCAAAAATTTTGAAAAAAAGTGTTTTTTTCTTATAAAAGTTTGCAAATAAATAATATTTCATCATAAATCTTGGCCAAAATGTATTCCGTTATCTTTTTAGTAAAAAAAAAATAAGCCAAATTAGTTTATAACTAGAGATGAGCGAAATTATTCAAAAATTCGATTCGGCCGATTCGCCGAATTTCAGGAAGAAATTCGATTCGATGCGAATTAATTCGCTACGAAGTTAACTTATAAAAAGGGTTTCTAGGCTTCAGAGAGCCTTTAAATTAGACACTGTACCTTTAATTTAAATGCCCTTGGAGATGAGGAAGGAGAAGGAGAAGGATGAGAAGAAGGAGAAGGAGAAGGATGAGAAGAAGAGAAAGAGAAGGATGAGAAGAAGGAGAAGGAGAAGGATGAGAAGAAGGAGAAGGAGAAGGATGAGAAGAAGGAGAAGGAGAAGGATGAGAAGAAGGATGAGAAGATGGAGAAGGAGAAGGATGAGAAGAAGGAGAAGGAGAAGGATGAGAAGAAGGAGAAGGAGAAGGATGAGAGAAAGAAGATGAGAAGGAGAGAAGAAGGAGAAGGAGAAGGATGAGAAGAAGGAGAAGGATGAGAAGAAGGAGAAGGATGAGAAGAAGAGATGAGAAGAAGGATGAGAAGAAGGAGAAGAATGAAGGATGAGAAGAAGGAGAAGGATGAGAAGAAGGAGAAGGAGAAGGATGAGAAGAAGGAGAAGGATGAGAAGAAGGAGAAGGAGAAGGATGAGAAGAAGGAGAAGGAGAAGGATGAGAAGAAGGAGAAGGATGAGAAGAAGGAGAAGATGAGAAGGATGAGAGAAGAAGGATGAGAAGAAGGATGAGAAGAAGGAGAAGGATGAGAAGAAGGATGAGAAGAAGGAGAAGGATGAGAAGAAGGATGAGAAGAGAAGAAGGAGAAGGATGAGAAGAAGGAGAAGGATGAGAAGAAGGATGAGAAGAAGGAGAAGGATGAGAAGAAGGAGAAGGAGAAGGATGAGAAGAAGGAGAAGGATGAGAAGTAGGAGAAGGAGAAGGATGAGAAGAAGGAGAAGGAGAAGGATGAGAAGGAGAAGGAGAAGGATGAGAAGGAGAAGGGAGAAGGAGAGAAGAAGGGAAGAAGGAGAAGGATGAGAAGAAGGGAAGGATGAGAAGAAGGAGAAGGATGAGAAGAAGGATGAGAAGAAGGATGAGAAGAAGGAGAAGGATGAGAAGAAGGATGAGAAGAAGGAGAAGGATGAGAAGAAGAAGGAGAAGGAGAAGAAGAAGAAGGATGAGAAGAAGGAGAAGGATGAGAAGAAGAAGAAGGATGAGAAGAAGGAGAAGGATGAGAAGAAGAAGAAGGAGAGAAGAAGAAGAAGAAGAAAGATGAGAAGAAGGAGAATTCCAAGCCGGCAAAAAGTGTATCTGCAGAGCTCCGCTATTTCTTAGCGGAGCTCTGCAGATACACTTTTTGCCGGCTTGGAATTCTTCTTATTTTCATCCTACTTCTTCTTCTTCTTCATCCTCATCCTCATCCTCTTCTTCTTCTTCTGAGGATGAGGATGAGGATGAAGAAGAAGAAGTAGGATGAAAATAAGAAGAATTCCAAGCCGGCAAAAAGTGTATCTGCAGAGCTCCACTAAGTGTATCTGCAGAGCTCCGCTATTTCTGACAGTTCTGTGACATTCCCTCCATACAGCGGTTGAAACATTGTATCTATTTGTTTCCATAAATGGTTCCATTTATGGAAACAAATAGATACAATGTTTCAACCGCTGTATGGAGTGAATGTCACAGAACTGTCAGAAATAGCCTATTTCTGACAGTTCTGTGACATTCACTCCATACAGCGGTTTCAGCAAAACGGATGCCTCTGGTCAAGTCAGGAGGCGTTGAAGCCTCCTATTCTAGTCTATGTGCCGCTCCGCAAATGCCCGGCCGGCGTTTGCGGTGCAGTTGCGACGCGGTTGCGGGGCATTTGCGGAGCGGTAACACCATCCAAACTTCATTATAGACGTTTGTGGGGCATTTTTAACGCTCGGCAAACGCCTAGCAACCACCGCTGCAGTGTTTGAAAAATGCTCCGCAAACGCCGGACCAACGATTGCCAAACGCTATAGGGGCGTTTGGCAAGAGTTGGTAAAACAGTCCAGTGTGAACGAGCCCTAAGAGGTATGACTGGTTCTGCTCTGCTTCCCCAGCAGTTTGGGGGCAATCCAGCTCACTGCAGAGAGTTTCTCAACCAGGTTGGAATAAATTTTGAGATGCCGCCCCAGCCATTCTCTATGGACAGAGGCAAAGTAGGCTTCATTCTTTCTTTGCTTTCTGACAAAGCCTTGGCTTGGGCAAACCCTCTATTGGAGACACAAAACCCATTGTTCAGATTTACCCTGAGTTTGTAGCCTCTTTTAACCACTTGCCCTCCTGAGGATTTATCCCCCTTCCTGACCAGGCCTCTTTTTGCTACTCGGTGCTGCACTAATTCAATTGATAATTGCGCGGTCATGCAATGCTGCACCCAATCGAAATTTACGTCCTTTTTTTCACACACAAATAGAGCTTTCTTTTGGTGGTATTTGATCACCTATGCACTTTTTATTTTTCACGCTATAAACAAAAAAAGACCAAACATTTTGAAGAAAAACAATATTTTTTACTTTCAGCTATAAAAAATATATAGTAAACTCAAAGTTAGTTATAAATTTAGGCCAAAATGTATTCTGCTACATGTTTTTGGTAAAAAAAAATCCCAATAAGTGTATATTGATTGCTTTGTGTGAAAGCTATAGCGTCTACAAACTATGGTATAGATACTGCAATTTACGCCATTTTTTTGCTATACAGCGCTGCACTAGTTTAACAGACAATTGCGCGGTAATGCAATATGGTACATTTGAAATTTACATCCTTTTTTTCCCACAAATTGAGCTTTCTTTTGGTGGTATTTCATCGCCTGTGTGTTTTTTATTTTTTGTGCTATAAAAAAAAAAAATATATATTTTGGACTTTTTGCTATAAAACATGTCCAGTAAAAAAAATGTAAAAAATCTAATTTAGTCATAAATTTCTGCCAAAATGTATTCTGCAACATGTCTTTGCTTAAACAAAATCCCAATACGTGTAAATTAATTGGTATAAGTGAAAGTAATAGTGTCTACAAATGGCGGGAAAGATACTGTGATTTTTTTTTTTGTTATACTAATAATGGTGGCAATCAGCGACTTATGGCGGTGATCAGCGATTTATGACAGTGATCAGCAACTTATGGCGGGACTGCGGCGGACATTTTGACACTGGGGGGGAACTGACTTGGGGTCACTAACATCCCCAGTGACACCAATACAGTGATCAGTGCAAAAAAAAAAAACACTGACACTTTACTAATGGCACTGGGGAGGAAGGGGTTAACTTTTATTGTGAGAGGAGTGTTTTACTAGGGGGTGGGGGTGTGTACTTCACAGGAATACGCTGATCCTGACCTGAGTCTTCTCTCAGGTTCAGCGTGCTCTGAACTGACAGATAGCAGGGCTGCATTGTTTACATTGCAGCTCTCTGCTATCTGTCAGTGATTACTTGTAATCGCCGGCACCTGGCGGGAAATGACCCGCCGGGAGCCGGTGACGGACACCCACTGCCACGATCGGCGGGACAGGTAGGGCGGGCATGCGCCTCGCTCGCGCCCCCTACCTGTTTTGCACAGCGATGTTAAAAGTCAGCGCTGTTCGCACAGGTGTCGCCCTGCCGCAGTAAAAACACTGCGGCGGGTCGGCAAGAGGTTAAAAGGGTATTTGATATTTTTTAATCGCTTCACCTCTGCTGCCAAGAGCCTCATGTCCATTAAACAGAGCACGAGAACTGCTGCAGACTACGCTATTAACTTCTGTACTCTGGCAGCAGAGGTTGGTTGGAACAATGAGGCAGCTCTATTGGCTGCTTTTTCCCACGGCCTCTCTGATAATATTAAAGATAAGATTACAGCTTGACATACTGTATCATATACTGTATGCAATTTACTGAGTGCATCAAAAAACATGTAACTTAAACATTTGTTGAATGTAATAATAACCACAACTTATAGTCCTTCATATGTGATATTATCCGTGCATATATAAAACTTTGTGCCAGACAGAGGCTCCTTTTTCCTTCTGTCCACATATATTCTTAGATGTGTTCCTCCACCAGAGACACCTCCTTCTATGACCCAAATTTCATAGGTCAAATAACGCC